CGCATTTGTTCACATTATAAACAAAAAATGTATAATCGTATCGCTAAGGACGCTAAGCACCACATGTTCATACTTACGTTCCGAATCGAGAAACTCTGCTATTGATAGACAACTATTATCTTTCATTTTATCATCTTTGTATTCCTTCAACGTTTTATTGTAAATGTGTGGGCACTTTTCCACTAATTGAATCAATAATTCGTCATTCATAATGAAATCGTAGCGTTAGCGTTACTACTCCAAAGACCAAAATAAACAAAACTAGTGATGTAAAATAATTAAGTAACGCTTACAAAATAATCGTTACAAGTGAGTAACTAAATGTAACGAGTCCTACTTTTTGAAAAGACTCGTTACTTTTTATTTGAATTCGTTACTTTGAATGCGATACGGTCTTTTTCTATGTATACTTTCTAATTACTGTTAGTTACTACACTATACATTACTTTAGATACAAACGTTACTGGGATCTAATGTAGCCAGTACTGCCTGCGCCAGCAGCAAGTGACTTAGTTCTTGGATGTAAACTGGGTGGAAATGAAATGATCCGAATATTGTTAGGCTTAGGCAACTTTAGATACTCTTCTATCAAACGAGTTGCGGACTGCGGAGCTTTAGGTTGGCAATGTTTGTGTACACCTGTACACTTTTCATTTGACTTTGAGAGCTAGCGGTTGGCGGGTTGTTACTGGTTTGGACGTTGCCGTACAAGCTCGAGCAATAATGTAATTATTATTTGTACAAAAATATGGAATCATCCGCGTCCGGTTCAGGAGAATTGCAAACTCAAAAAAGAAGTGTTATTTGGATGCATTTCACCAATATATCGGAAGCTAATGCAAAGTCTAATCTTTGTAAAAATATTTAGTCGCATAAAAATGGAAACATTAGCAATTTAAGGAAGCATTTGAAAACTAAACATCCGACACTCATTGGAAGGAGAAAGGGCAAAACGGCGGGTCGAAGACGAAAACATGCCTAGGTGCAAAAGAAACTTAGTTTCAGGTATGTTTTATTATTATAAGTATTTTGTTGAACACCATTTACAGTGGAGTAACCAGACTGTTAAGTAGGGCAGGGGAGTAACCAGACTGTTAGGGCAGGGGACGCTACTCAACTAAAGTAAAGAGTGAGGAGAGTGGTTCCTCCACGGTCCCCATCTGGTTATGCCACTTGTTAAATACTATTTACAGCGTACAGCCAACGAACCAGACGTCACACAACGACGAGTTTAAAATATAAGTACCTTCTACGTATCAAATACCAAAAAAAATAATAGGCAAGGCATTAGACAAAAAATAATAATTGGATCAATCCCAAAGTAATAATTTGATATAATATATAGAATGTAGGTTCTAAACGAAATGTCCAAATAGTAACTAAACTAACGAGTCCAAAGTTCGAAAGTAACGAGTCCTTACCAGTCCTAAAAAGTAACGAAACTTTGCATCACTAAACAAAACTCAATTTTTAGGTTAATACTGTAATGCGCATGTCCTGGTTCTGAGCATTCTGATTGGCTCCGAGAAGGCGACGGAACGGGAAAGTTGAATCTTGGCCAACTCTTCCGTTTTCGTTCCCGTTACCGTTGCCGTTTCCGTTTGTTGTGCATGTATGTATTGGATAATATGTAATTGAACTTTTCTCTCGTTTCCGTTTCCGTTCTCGTTCCCGTTCCCGGGCAATTGTGCAGCAGCCTTAAGGATTTCAACTATTGAAAACGTGCAAATTCTGGTTGTATTTTTCAAATTTCAAATAAAATGACATGGCTAAAACTGTTTTAGCCTTCATGCTATCTTCAGCATTTGGAAACATAACAGAAATTATTAAATTACTACCAGTTTCAAATCTAACAGGTGATGAAATGACACCTTTGGTTGAACATGTGATAAATTTAGTTCAAAAATGTGGATTTGAAGTTATTTGTGTTGTTACTGATAATCACCGAATTAATAGAGCAATGTTCAGGAAATTAGCAAAGGATTCATCAGAAAATTATTCTATTCCAAATCCACATAATCCTGATAAGAACATATATTTAACTTATGATGTTGTGCATATTTTCAAGAATATCAGAAATAATTGGATTAATTTAAAAAACCTAGACAAAACTTTTGTATATCCTAATTTTGACAATAATGATATTATTCAGTATGCTAAATTTGAAAACATTCGTGCTGTATATCAATTGGAAAAAGAAGCTGTAGTTAAGAAAGCATATAAATTAAATTATAAAACATTGCATCCAAATTCATTTGAAAGGCAAAATGTAAATTTTGTAGATAATTTATTCCACCACTCAACAATAGCTGATATGAAAGAATTAAAGTTTAATGATGCTGCACACTTTTTGGAAATAATCAGGAATTGGTGGGATATTGTCAGTAATACAAATGTAATAGAAGGAGAATTGAAGCGAAACGAATTTTGTAAGCCTATTACCAATACATATGATTATAGAGTACGATTTTTAAAAAAATTCCTGATATGGTTAGAAAAATGGCATAATCTAGAGAATAATAATGGACACCTGACACCAGAAACGTATACAGCTCTATATCAAAGCACGCTGACTCTACTTAATATAATTGAATATTCATTTAATCAATTTGACATTGAGTATGTATTGCCTGGAAAATTCACCACTCATAATTTAGAAAAACGATTTGGCAATTATAGACTTTTATGTGGCTGCAATTACAATGTGTCATATGATGAAATTTTAAATGCTGAAAAGAAAATACGGCTGAAGCATATTTTCAATGAAAAGAAATCGTCATTTTCTTTAGCAGAAATTAAAACAAGGTTCCAAAACTGCTTAGAACCTCAAGAAAATTTTGATTTCTTGGATACCAAACAAAATCCTGAAGTTTTGGATATATTCAATGAAGTATTTGAGACAAATTACGTAGCCAATTGTGACATAGAGGATAGTACTAAGACTTATATATCTGGATATGCTTCACACGCTATCTCTAAAAACCTAAACTGCGAGATATGCAAATCGCTAATAGTTAAAGAAAAAGGTTCATTAACAACAAATGTTTATTTTGATCATTTGCAAAGAGGAGGACTGTCAATTCCAACCAGTTATGTACCAATCATATTCTACCATATGTATGCCATTTTTGAATCTATTATTAATGTAGATAGATTGGAAATTTTCTTCTTGAAAAGCAATAATCAAAAATTTATTTTGTGTCAGTTAACCTTGCTCAGCATTCAGTCTGACTTTATATACAGTGAATTTTCTTTAACTTGCATCTGTGGCCGCAATTATGCAGATATTTTATCTAAGCTTTTGTCTATTTTTTCAAACATAATTTTGAATGATTATGTAAAATTGAAAAATAACAGTAAAACTGAAAGTAAATGTATTAAAAACAAACAGGTAACTCCACATTTCCAAGCTGGGCCTGTTGGAACACAGTGTGCTGACACCAAAAAACGTAAACTAAATACTTTTAATTAGGTTAACTGCATTAGCGACTCATATATATCACGATTATTTCGTATTTTTAAATTTTTTAGAGCTATTTCATATTCAGATGATTTGTATCGAATCGAACTGTCCTCTTTTCCAAAATTAAATTCAGTTCTTGAACGTTACACGGAGACGGAGCACACAGCCGCTGGCGGCCGACGTTCACAGGTAGCACTACCATGCCGTCCGAGCGCGGTGTTGCCTTTCTTTCATCACGGCTCGTAGTTGACGTCGGCTGTGTTATCAGGTTATCACGTATAACGATGTACAGATCACGTGTTCACGCTGTTGCCACTTCTGCAAGATACCGACCGAGACATGCATCGCTGGGTAGAGAACAATAAGAGAGTTTCTAGCTACACTATTGAGGATTTTTACCCCACGGAGACCTTTACCCCCACCCAGCCTACATATACAACTTCACCATAACCTAAGTTTCCTGTCATTTTTTTAGATTAAATGCCATAACCATTATTTTACTTCTCTAAGACAAGCAACACATTCGTTGTAAAGCTTTTATCAACTTTTCATAGATGTGCTATAAATTCGGCGCCCATATTTCATATCGAAAGATTTTCCAAATTGCGTATAACACCTGCGGATAACACCTACAGCTGCCATAGGCAGCAGCGGTGGCTGGTGACTCTTCGGTCTCCTGATCAGTCGCCGTGCGCTGTGCGGTTCGAATCCCGTCCCAGGAGAAATTTTTCTCTTGGCTATGGACTTTGTGATTGTCCGTAGGTGGTAGACGGTCTCTGACTGTCGAACGCGGAGGTACCACCCGGCGGATCTCGTAGGCGGGGCCAGAATGTGTGCATGTTGCATGCACACTTGTTCCCTCGCCAGAGTCCGTGTGGCGTTCCCCCTTTCCACTGTATCCCCCTATAGCCCCACGGTACCCCATGGGTGTTTAGGCCTTAGGCCTTCGTGGTAGTTGGAGTATAAAAAAAGCGGGTGCAAGAGTATTTACACTTTTGTTGTATAACTGTTACCTGCAGCCCTTATACAACATCTCAAGTGACTGAAGTGACCTGTTAGGTCCACTTGTATAGCTATTCTAAGAAAGCTTTGCCAATGCTCTTGCAACCTACAATCCGGTGTGAAGAATACTGTATAAACGCTCTTGCAACCCTAACAGGATTGTTAATTGTTAGTTGGGATGTATCAGCGATGGCACAGCAGGTGGCAGATGTTATCTCTTCAAGGTGGTTGGCTCCCGATCGGAATCCCTTGACTAACTATTTGATCAATATTATCAACATATTTTTTATTGTGGTACAATCATTTCCAATATTATTTCCAAAGTAAACTTTTGAAGTTCATTATGTATTGGATAGCTTTAGCAAATATGACATTAATCAACATCAATAAAGGACGACTCATCATTTTTAATTATGGATTTAGGTTGATTATTTTCTCAGGCGCCTTGGAATTCGGAACGTATATTTAAGTGAAGGGTAAACGACAAGGCTGCGTATTTATCGACGCTTGATTAATGTATGCTCTTTTCTGACAGGCTGACGAACCAAAGTCGGAAATACTTCAAACTACACCATCGCATCCGAAGATGTTAGACGATGTTTCTTTGACGGACAGCAAAAGTAGTAAGAAACGCCGTAAAAGGGTCAGAAGAAAGAACACTCCAAAGAAGTCGAACAGTGTAAATCAGCTTTTAGCTCAAGCTGGTGAAAATACAGAGACGAATGATACTATTACTGATAAAAGTTCAATGGATAGCAATAGTTCCGATCAGGAAGTTAAAGAATTTCAGTAAGTATTTGCACAAATTTGTTTTTAAAGATAGCCTTATTACTTATTATTTTTACATCAAGCGCGCAAAGTGCAGTATGTCTAGAACAGCGCAAGTAATTTGTTTTTGAATTGCCCATAAGATTTTTCACAACCACCTCAGGTTACTAGAATTCAAGAATTTTTTATACATCGATTTATCTTGCCGTGAACAATAAGTGATAAAATGGTCAAGTTTTTCTGTTAAGTTTTTGTGTATTGTTTGGTGATAAAGAAACATTCAGTTTTCGTACATTTACGGTATCAGTTAAATGTTAAGGCTGGTTTTAGTGTCAAGCTGACGTCAGCGCTGACAGCTCAGCGCGTGGTTTGTCAGTGCCGAGGGTCAGCGCGAAACGTTTTAGTATCGTGCTGATCGCCACGGAATACAGTCGCAGACGCAAAATGCGGAGAGCAATAATCATTGCTGCTTTGTACTGGATGACTCGACTTGTGTCTACATTGGGACTGTACCTGTACACGCTGACAGCGTCCACACCGTTCGACACTAGAACGCTCAATGAAGGCAAAGGCGCGCGAGCGATGGTCAGCGCTGATAGCTACGCTTCCTAGACTTTCGCATATTTCGCCTGTCGGCGCTGACGGTCAGCGGCCGGTCAGCGTGACTCTAAAACCAGCCTAAATTTCATGTAGCTATTGAGAAGCCTTTTTGTGATTGCTCAAAATGTCTAGAGCGCGTAGAATTCGCCGGGTATTCCAGCTAAGTGACTTTGGGAGGGGTCGAATTGTCGGGTTGCGAGAAGCCGGTCTATCGATAAAAGAAATTTCTAGGAGGACCAACATATCCATACTGCAGTGTCAACCAGCGTGGACTCAGGAAGTCCAAAGACAGCGAGTGAGGGGTTCTGTACGTCCCAGAGGGACCACAAGCGACAAGACCCCCCAGTTAAGACTTGTGGCTCTGAGAGACAGATTCAGTAGTACTCGACCCATCGCTAATCAGTGGTTTGAAGAGCATGGAATGATGGTTGGTATGCGTACGGTATATCGCCGAATGCAACAGTTTGACCTTTTTTCTTATCGCCCACATTGGGTGCTACCTCTCACAGCTGAACATCGGCGTAACCGTTTGTTCTGGTTTAGAGAAAACATTCTATGGGACGGGGAATGGAATCAGGTGGTCTTTAGTGACGAATCCCGCTTCTGTCTGGGGATGCACCATGGTCGGGCAAGAGTGAGAAGGCGACCCACCACACAGGGGGAGTTATAGTATGGGGTGCTATTGCTTATGGTAGCAGATCACCATCAGAGCATAGTTAGCCTTCATGGATCAACCTCGCATCAACCGTTTACCTTGGCCACCACGATCGCCTGACCTATCTGCAATTGAACATGTCTGGGCCATGGTAGGTAGCAGGCTCTTGCATTTACAATACCCTCCACAGACTTTAGCAGCTCTTACTCAGGAAGTTGCAGTAGCCTGGAATGAGATACCCCAAGAGGATATCGACCACCTTATCAGCACGATGCCCAGGCATGTCAATGAGTGTATAAGAAATCGTGGATCCTCAACTCATTAGTGAACCAGCTTCTGCAGTCAGTTGACGAATCAAGCTGAAAATTTAATCGTATTATACTAGGAAGGGACACTGAACATATATGCCAAAAATTATTAAAATCGGATAAACATACGTAGATGTTTACCTTTTTGTCACTCATTATATACAGTGTTTTTCTTTAATGTCCCCCTCCGCTTTGATTTTTTGAACGGATCAGTTCAAAAAATTAAAACTTGAGGTAATGAAATTGATGCGTGGATACCATCTTGGAAAAACAAATATATGAAAACGGGGGTCTTGTGGCACATCATTTTGAAGCTCCTGAGGAGTACTTTATAACCCTAGAATATAAAGTCACTTTAACCTACTACAAAATGGTGGTACATTTAATAATTACCTGATTACATTGACATTTAACTTGATAATTCGAATAAATACGTTGAGTTCAGTTTAGAAGATACTGGAAATGATTGCCTTGAACTTCTTGACACAATAACAGCCGGTCCGTAATTTCGCGTCGAACATTTTCAAACATAGTAACATCGATATTTCTACAAATATTTGTTATTCTCAGCCGTATATCCATTATTGAAGCAGGTTCAGTTTCGTACACTTTTTGCTTTAAATAGCCCCATAAAAAAGTCTAAGGGTGGATTTCACCAAGGTTGTCAAATCAACAGTCCGTTATTTGTCCACCTATAGGGTAACACTCCGTCAAATACAACGAATGAGCTTCAAGTTCCAAACAACAAATTTTAGCAACCAATAGCTATGAAATGTTGAAAACAATATACTGTCAAAGTATGAGATGACAGCTTGTCATTGAAACATCACCAGCTTATTGAATATTAAGAAATTACATATAATTCAGTCAACATTTAAAGAAATGTCTGATTTTTGAATTAAATTCATGTTTTAATTACTATTGTTGATTTTTTATTCATGTTTATATTATTTTCTTCAATTGATATGCGATTTTACTGATTCAACATCACCTGGGTATTTTTCCTATAAACCTCTTGCAGATAGCCATTAAGCACCTACTTGATGACAGGCTCTACCAAAAAGTTCATAGATATTGCTGGTTTCAAAACATTCATTCATTTACTTGCCTTTCATCAGAATCATTATGGCACCTTAGATTGATATTCCCACAAAACCATTCAGGTTTTTTGATATCCATACATCCATAAAGTTGAATATTTTTCGTTGTTCAGGAACTGAACAAACATACACGCTATATTCACAGCGATTAAGAAATTCCCAAATATATGTGTTGAAGCTACCAGAAAACCTAAAACCTGCAAAAAACTACAAATTTGCCATATTTTTCTTTTTTCTCGAGTACACATTCTAGGTTATATTTACGTAGTCGTGCCATAAGTTCTGTCCCATGATAATCTCATGATAAAAATGAAACAAGATAAGATATATTTATATGAAAGATATTATTTATTCGACAACATTTTTAGAATTCATAATCAAACAGTTTTATTCAAAATGTCCCCCCTTGGCCTTCACACACTGCTTCAATCTCGCGGGCCACTCATCTATCACTGCACGCACAGCTTCCAAATGCTGCCGCTGATCGGATCAAATCCGCTTTCAGGGACTCGATATTACGGTGGGCTTTGGAGCAGGCCAACTGCTCTAGCAGGTCCCACAACTTGTAGTCTAAAGGATTGAGGTCCGGACTCCCTGAGGGCCAATCTTCCGCAGCAATGAACTCTGGCACATTGCTTTCCAGCCAGCGCTGCGTACTCTTAGCCTTGTGAGCGGGGGCGGAATCCTGCTGGTAGACCCAGTGTTGGTTGGCAAACAATGTACCACTTAAAGGCTTGACGATAGGATCCAGTATGTCGCTCTGATAGTTTGCCGCTTTTGTTTTCACGCCCTGTTTACAGAAATGGAGCTGAGTGACCCCTTCGTAGGACACCCCCCACCAAACCATGACTGACGCAGGGTGGTGGCCTCTCTCAACTCTCAGAATGATCTCCGAAGCTTCCTGTGAACTCCTTGCATACACTTTGTCATTTTGTCGGTTGAATTTTTCTTCTATGGTGAAGATTTTCTCATCCGTGAACAAAATCTTTCGGAATCCCCCAGCTGCGTACCTCTCCAAGAGCTTCTTGGATCTTGTCGCCCTGATGTGTCGCAAGGTGGCCGTAAGTCGTTGGCCCGTACGTCTCCGGTAAGCCCCTAGCCCTAGGTCTTGTTTAATGATGCGCGACATCGTCCGGACAGGAATCTTCATTTCCCTGGATAGGATCTTCTGCTTCCGGAGTGGATTCCTTTGAATCCTGGCTTTTACGGCTTTGATGGCTGCTGGAGTCCTTACTTGACGAGGTCTTCCGCTTCTTGGCCTGTCATCAACAGAGGACGTCTCATTGTACCGCTGAATGGTCCTAGACACAAATTTACGCGATATTTGAAGGCCGCGTAAGAGTTCAAAAATCTGACTAGCACTGTGATTACACTTATGTAAAGCTATCACTGCAATACGGTTCTCTGCCTTGCCCCACTCCATCGTTATGCTTCGAGAGATCAATACAAACTGAGGTATATGTAATTACCCGAAAAGCGCTTAATCAACTGACACCACAATGTAAACAATCGGACAAGTATTAACAGGTCTACACTTGTTTGAATACGAGGGACAGAACTTATGGCATGACTACGTATATTAGACATTATTTGAATACAGCTGATTATTGCATTTCAAAACTCCCCGAATGACACATGTGTGGGATCTGTCAATCATTGGTCCCAGTCACAAAATATATACTCTGAAGAAGGTTTAATTCCATGCTATTCATTGACAACACGGTGATTTGTGTGGTTGTCAGCGGCCATTTTTGAGGGTGCGACATGGTTGCCAGATTGTGCATTAATATCCCGTTTCACCCCCCTGGTCCCAGTGGAGTAAGCTCCGCCAACTGTTGAAATATACTCTACTATGCTTTATAAGACTATTCGTGGAATTTTTCCCAAAATCGTTGCACAAACTTCAAAAAATGCAAATGAAAATTCAAAATTATTTCCATGACGCGCAAAATAGCCCCGTCGATACCTCGGGTCATACATCTTGACAGTAGGGCTGTTCCATACGATCCTATATTTAGAAGTATCAATACATTTCACGAGTATCGTCATCTTTCGATCCGGACTGTGTCAGAAAGAGTGACTGAAGTTTACTTTTCTTCTTTGTTTCCTTCCGCTGGATATCGATAATTTTATTCCAATATTTTAGAGTATCGATACTTCCTAAAACGATAAGAATCGATCCATAACGATACTTTTCGTGGACTGAACATCCCTAATCTTGACAGCTTGGCGTTCTTGTCAACTGGGCTGCAGGGTGCGGTGTTGCCTTTACTATCTTACATTTTGCTAAAATCTTATGACAAATAAAGGCTTCAAATGAAATATTGACGAATATGAACGTATATGCAAAGAATTTAGAATATAAAATCATATTGCAAATTTCAGATTGGACTTGAACCGGATTTTTCGGTATTTTTACCGAAAAGAGAATATTTACCGATAACATAATTCTCCACGATTTTTCAAAATAATTTACATATTTCTATACTTGCCGAAAAAGAGCTGAAACCAAAAATAAAGCTAAACGTTAATTTTATGTAGTCTTCATAGTTTTATGACCCATATCAATCATACATATGCTTACACACTCATGCTGTCGGGTACATGAGAGGGGTAGATTTGGGATGCCTATGATTACGAACGCACATCCTCATCCCTTACCCCGCTTGCCCTGACTTGATTTTTGTGCATACAAAAGGTACAGACTGGTAGATTACCGCCATTACCTCATCACCGGACAAGCAATAAACAAACCGAAACCTGCCTGTTTTCAAAATAAATATTGAATCAAAATTAGAGGTGAGTTCATGAGTTTAAGGGTTAAAACAGAAAAATATATACAATACTATCAGCATATACAGACAAAACTAGACTGCCATGCATGAACAGTCGTCACAAACAGTGAAAACATCCTACCAACTATAATAGCTAGAAAATCGACCTATTATTTGCCGCATTCAAATTGGTCCCACTTAAATAACTGACCGTCTTTTGTGAAACTGATATTCAGAGACCTTTGACAGCTTCTGTCAAATTGCATTTCGATAAGCTATTTTTCCATTGGTTCAAGGGACCGTCAAATATTAATGTTGGTGAAATTGGGCCTAAAGGTGTCAAATCTGACGAGCGAGCTGGCCATTCCACAGGACCTCGACGGCCAATCTAACGACCGGGGAAATTGTTATCTAACTAATTCCTAACTTGTCTGTACATAGTACGTAGTAGTCTTGCTGGAATATAATATCAGTATCGAATTCATTAGGATTCACTTCGACGATTTCGGTGATTAGAGGGTCAATAGTATTTTCCAGCATATCCAAATATAGTTCCCCGGTTAAAGTTTGTTCGATGAATAGAGGCCCCACAATATGATTTCCCAATATCCCAGCCCAAACGTTAATTTTTTGTGGATCTGAGTATGAATTTCCCGGAAGACGTGAGGATTGGTGTCACTCCAATAACAACAATTTTGTACGGGTGATACTTTTTTTTTAATAGTCTACGTACAGTAGAAGGACAAACCTCACATACATTCGCGATGGAGGCAGTAGACTGTTGGGGATTTACTATGATCTCACCAATTATTTGAACTTGCTTTTCTTCCAGGATGGTCGGATGACTTGGGGACTTTTTGTTGTTTACACTACCAGTAGCTGTAAATTTAGATACAAGTTCCCTTAAATATTTTCTATAGATAGGACGATTCGGGAAACGATCATTAAAAGTACTTTCGGTCTCATGAAAGTTACACGTCGCACCATAAATAAAAATCGCTTCAATTTCATCTTCCAATGGACAAGAATTTTAAAAATAGTTTAAACAGTATCGCTGTGGCTGTGGATACGGCAGGGAATTACAATTATGTGTAGAGATATGCATGTTAGTGGGTTTATGTTCGAGTAACTATTAAATGTACCACCATTTTGTGGTAGGTAAAGGTATTGACTTTATATTCTAGGGTTATGAAGTACTCGTTAGGAAAACAAGGCCCTCGTTTTCATATAATATTTTTTCCAAGATGGCGCCCAGCGGCCATCTCAACATTTTCATCTGTCAATTTTACTCTAAAATATGGTATCCACGCATCAGTTTCATTACTTCAAGTTTTAATTTTTTGAATTGATCCGTTCAAAAAATCAAAGGGTGGGGTACATTAAAGAAAAGCACTATATAACTAGTGATGCAAGGTTTTTCGTTCTCCGCGCGACGTACCGATTTGCACCTAATCTGGACATTATATATCCCGATGAATTAACATTAAAACAAATCATTACAAAAAATTAATTAATCACGCAATCCACCACTATGTCGAGTGCTTTGCTTTGTTCTCTAGCTCAGACGCAAACGTTCCGCGATGTGTTTCATTTACAGACAGCCCCTATCATTATTTTTAAATATCTGTGATATAAAACACTTTTTAGTATCAGTGATTTAAAGCGTGACGTGATCGCGACTCTCGATGAGGATATGGGTATTGTGATAGTCTGAGCAAAATAAATAACACATAAACTATATTAGTTGTGCAACATAATAAATTAACTCTTAATTTTAAAAAACCTTGTTTCTTGTTGTCCCGATTTACATCCCGATTTGTTCTGCGTCGATTCGGAACAAATTGGGCCTGACAACATATCTCCTCCTCGGTGACGAACATCTTTGTGATCATAAATCTTGTGACCACCACCACTGCATTCCCCTGTAGCTTCTTGAATCCCCCACTGTGACTAAGTAGTCTGTGATACTTATCATCACAAATTGACATCGATGTAAGACGGATTTTTCTTTGTGCTAAATACATATTACTGAACAATGCAAAATAATGTGTTATTTTTTTTTTTTAGTTTTCAACCATATTTTCCGATAATTCATTAAATCGCAAATACGTCAAAATCGGTGCACTTTTGACTAATACTATTATATAGAAATAGCACCGAGCAAGCATTACAATTACTTACACTCCCTATGATGTTTCGGCTTTGTAATAGTTGTGGTCAAACACTGTATAAAATATATTCTGGAATAATTCAATTTATCAAATAATTCAATCTCATTTTCCCGTTGGTTCCGGCACACAGCAGCGAAACGTTGATAACTCGGAATACTTTTAAAAATTTGCAGTATAATAGTAAACATTTTTCTTACCAGGAAAGAAATCAAGGAAGACCAAAGACAAATGGTGGATACTGCGAACATCAAAAAGATTGACGCAGATTTTCATTTCTTCAGCGATACGGAACTCACCAATAACGGGAACAATGATTCAAGGACGGGCTCTCCAGTGAACGTAGAAAGTGTACAGTCAGATTCGGAGTTCGAAGTTAAAGTTAGAAAAGGTAAGTTAGTCTTACAAACCCTTCAGTCGAATAATAGAACTAACAATGTGTTTATTAAAGGAGGGCTGGTAAATGTACATGGTTTCATTCATATGTTCTGAAATGAAATGTCTTCCAGAGTTTCAAAATTATTAAGACCTTCGTAGTAATATCACATAAGGTTGAAGCTCCATGCATTCTTCCATTCTTCGTTTCATCGCTTTGATTTCCAAGAGTACAGAGATGATAGGCAAATAATCATGGTTTTTGGTCGCTAGGCTAGTAGCAATAAATCGTATGGCGTTTAAAATATCTTTTGATGCAGAATAAGAAAGGCTATTGCAATTTTTCAAACTCCTTGTCCGATCGGAGGATCGTTTTCTCGAAAGTCAGTGGTTTTTAGGATGTTTATATCGCTGCCATTGAAGTTATCACATTTAAGGCATTTATTTCTACGTCATGTGGTGGTATCGATATTTCTGTTTGCTACCCGGTCAGACTAAGAGCCTTCGCTCACTACGTCGTATCGTAATCGTATCGTAATACCCGCGTAGGACGAGAGCAAAACGAGCTCGTATGTGTGCTAACGAGTCCTTACACGAAGCGGTGCTGCAGCGAAGCGTATGAGATGTTCAGTCATATTACGATAGTCGTAGCGGTCTGGCGTAAGGCAGGCGCAGAAGCTAGTGTAACATTCAAGTTTTGTTTAATTGCTCTCGATATGGCTGAGGTCATCAATGGATACACCAGAAACATGTGGTACCGTTGCCGCCATGATTTCAACTGAGATGTTACAAAACGATACGAGTAGGTGACGATGCGTATGTGGAACACTGCAGGTCTCGTAAGTGTTGCGTCGTAACGATATGCTTACGAAACGACTACGCGTACGATGGGAGTGCGAAGGCCCTAAGGTCCATTTTACGTTTATTTTAAATTATTCCAAATGACAGCCTCAATTCCAAAAATATCCGAAAAATAACTCAAAAATTAATAGTGACCGCTGTAAAGTCTAAATTAGTTGAGTCGTCATACGCAGCACAAGTCATTCACAAAATTTCTTCAAAATCAAGCCGGTATTTTCGAGATATTTAATGAAAATCTACGTTTTTCGATCTTACTTTATCGGAAGCTTTTTCTCAAAACTAATCAAAAAATCACCCACCATAATTATTTTAATGACCTCAAACATACTGTACGTTGGATAGGAGCGGGGGTAAAAAACAATTGAACTGAACAAAGTACCTAATAAAGTTTGGATTATTGATCTCACTTATTTTTCCATACAATATCCTTCTAACAAAATGCGAAATATTTGTTCTGAATACACAACTTCACTAACCACACCCTCAAATACCTGTGCAGTATTGGGCTAAAAACACCCAAAAACTAATATCTTGTACAGATTATGTCTTGAAACCACGAATTCGAGCTTCGACTTTAACAAATCTTTTCCATTTTACATGTCCTTCGGTATATTGCTTATTATTTTTTAAAATTTCTATTCTTTTCTATTCGCAGAAGATCAGATGGAAGGCGGTAAAAGCTGGGAGTGGGGACGTTTTCCTAATGTTTCTCAGTTCCCATCTCATACCAGCGAAAACCCTAGACAAGAAGAAAGAAAGTCTATGCTAAGCGGAATGTTTTCTTTCATGAAACAGGTAATTTATACTCTAACTGAAATATATTTTATTGAAGGATATATTTATAGTACTTGCTGAATGTATCTGGCAAAAGTGAGTAAGGTTATGTAGGATTCCAAAGTAAAAGTGTTATACACTTTCTGAAAGTCCGTGACTTGCACAAGCATTAAGCTGAATATCTGAACATCTAGTGTCATCTTTGTATTAAAGTCTGGTGAAACTTGGGACTATATTCAGAACTATTTAAACCAAACACTGATGAAGATTTTTATATACCTGAGGTGAAATATAGTCATGATCCAGCTATTTTGTTTTTTCTTTTTGCGTCGAAACTTTTCTAACTGAGCTTTGTTAGAAAGTATGGATCCGTAACGTACAAAAACGACAACAAAATGCGGCCCTGTCTATAGATCTGGCCTTGACAGGTCCATCGCGTGTGTGTCAATTGTCGATATGGGGTATTTTAAATGTCTTCTGATACCCGGCTGTTATTTGTTCTCATGTTTTGACATAATGAAGTTTCGTGGATTAGTACATTTTTAAAATATACATAAAATCCGACTGCAACAACTGAAAAGAATGAAGTTTCAATAGTACTATCAAATGACAAAATATATCAAGTCGTTTGCCCGTGAAATAGAAATTACCATTTCGGTCAGACGGGGCACTGAACACTTCCGCGCAGAATGCGACTGACGTCAATGAGCTGTATCCCGTAAGTTATAATAAAATAGAAATTTCAAAGTTGAAAGTTGTGTTAGGATATCCTTATTTTGATTCTATACAGTTTTAATATATCCAACGTTACTCGCATTTCAAGACAAATCTGCATACTCCTCATATGCCAAAATCCGCCCGTCCATTTAACCTGTAGAGACCAAATAGAAATTTCGAAGTAGACGTTTCCGATTTTGAATTTATAAAATATTAATGCATCCAGTGCTGCTCGCACCGCTAAGACGAATCCAACAACAGCTCATAAGTCACAATTCAGCAGGCCCTTTTAGACTGTAGCCCATGAAACAGAATATTTTGTTTAGATGCATACATGCATACCCACGCCAAAAAACAATCTCTTTCTGAGCAGTCGGGTAAAAATCGATATCCCACTAGCCGCTAACGTCACTTATAGGGAAATGGTGTTTAAACCTCTGTAACTGTATGCTGCCAGCATAGTTTGTGGGCTGCAAGTTCATAGAGAACATTTATTTTAAACACTCAATTCAATGACATATGGCTTTTGGAACAACATGTAACTATTATAACCTGAATCCTTGTTTGGTTTAACTAACACTTTCATTTTAACATCTTATGAAACCTCACTTACTTTTCTTAGTCTGTCAGTTGCGTTTTCTTCGGTATCGAAGCATGGTACCAACACCAAAGAAGAGGTATACCAAGAGAGGACACTGCATGGAACGTTTGTCGGTCGCTTTCATTGGCCTTGTTACTGTTATATTTATAATACGCTTAATGCAGTAACAACGTTGTGTTATCGTTACATTTGCCCCACATTCCTTTTTCCAAAATATGTTGCACACTATTATAAAATATTTGACTCACCATGCATTTTAATGATGTCATGTGCTGAACATACAGATCTATACAGATCTAATTACTAATAAAGTTTATGAGAATACTTTTGACTATGATATCCACCGGTAGACATGAAAAAATCAGAATGTTGGTCCCTTTTGCGCTTGCTCTGAGCAGTATACATACACAAATATTTTCATCATACACCTTTCTCAATGAACGAAAAATATACTTGGTAGACTACTAATGGTTGATCAGTATTCCCCTTCAAATAAATGCTAGCCTGAACAAAACTCAATTTGAGCAAAAGATTGACAACAAAATTGATTCAATTAGAATTATCTCTCTGGCAACACCGCATGTATCTCTCGGCAAATAACAACACGTTGTTGACGTCATTTTGGCCTTTTAAATTGAAGTGGCCAGTCTATTTATGTGTAATTTTATGCGCTTCGCCCGTCTTCTCTCCTGATATACTAACTGTTTGCGTTTTCTTGCTCTTCTTATTTTGGTGTTTGTTACATTTGTTTAAGTAAGACTACTTTGCCACTACATATTGGCTTAACTTGTGGAAAATCATGCTCTGTTTTCAGATAATTTAAATGAACAATTCATACTTCACAAGTTTTTTATTTTCGATTATTTGCTAGAGATTTATTTCATTAAATTTAAATTTTGTTAACAGAAACATGGGTCTGGACAATCTAATTTGGAAGATGGCGTATATCTTTCTGATATATTGTCAGGAGGTATTGATCAAGAAGTAGCAGAGATATATTTCAATAAAACCAAACAAAAAAGAGGTAAGGGAAATATATAACAAAAATAATGCTATCGGTTTAAGCTCTTATCTACTACCGGGCAGTAAGGTGAGCTTTACGGGTAGATTTTCCGGGTTTTGAGCTTTCTTTTTATCCCATGGGTTTATTTACGCATTAGGGCACGCATTGACATATGCTAGTCGACTTGGAGAACTGGTCGTATTTATTTGTTGCCAGACATGTCCTCCGAAGTTTTGTCTTATCCTATAGCCGGTCGTTGATAAAATATATCGGGATTTCTCGGAACTTCGCATCTTGTGCTAGGTTCATAAAACAACTTCTGTTGTCTGTTAGGCTGAACATATTTTTTAAACGTATGGATTTGTCATTATCTCACAATTTATTGTTTTATTGCAGTTTTTGTAATCCTTGGAAAGCCTATCTATCATTATATTTATTTTGATTAGCTTTTTGTTTTTCGTTTTTTTGTTGTAACTGAATTTTGTTACCGATCTGTACAGACGTGGATTGTGAATCAGGAAATGGACCTTCGCTGACCCAGAGCCCAAACAGCCCCGAGGGTTGCAAGAGTATTGATTCGGATTTTGAAGAACAACTCAAATTGTAAGTATAAGTAATAGTATGGTACAGTTGCAGTACAGTGAAACCTGGTTAAGTGGGCCCTGGATATGTGAGAAACATTTTACTACTGACACCTTTGCATTATATAACTACTGGGAATTTTCGATTTTTTTAATTGAGATTTCTCTTCGCAGGATAATTAGGACTGTCTATCCCCTATGAAACATTTTATCAGGCTCAGACATGCTATGACACGTTGGTTTATAAACATTAGAATTTCGCCGTACTTTATTTGTACTCTACTGATTTCTCTTAGTGTGATAATACAATTACCATTTCAATCCTGCCTTTTTGGGAAACTGGGTAGATGAAAGGCGTCTAGGTGAATAAAGATTTTGTGTTCCTTTGATACCCAATTATACAGCTTTCACTGTATTACTTTTGGAAGTTATACCAAGTAGCAGGTATAGCAAGAGAATAAAGACAAGGGAAATAAAATTAGAGAAGAGAGATTTATATAGACTGGCCAAGCCAATTTAAAGGGACAAAATGACATTTAACCTCGAGAGATGAATGCGATGTTGACAGATAATTCTTTTTTGGATGAATTTATTGTCTATCACTTGTAGCGTTAGTTGAAGCATTTTTTGTCCAAATTTAGTTTTGTTTAGACTTGCGTTTATTCATGGCGGCGATTATTTATCATCCATTTGCAGTGTACCAAATTTATTTTTCATTCATTCGTCAATGTGAATATATTTATTTATGAATTAATCAGAGCATACAAAAAGAAGTGACCAATAATACGAATACAGATAAGACAAATACTATGAAAGCTACTATGGCATCATAATCTGTTAATACTGAACGGGGTCGTGGCAAAACACCATCTATGAACGCTGAGTTATCAGCACGTCAATCAACTGGCTATGATAGTGGAAACGAAACAGCTCCAGTAAACACCATCCCTACACAGAAAATTTCAGTAGCAGTTTATGTGTTTATGTAGAAAATATATAAATATGAATCAGGAAGCAAAAACTCCAGTAAGCAACCCGGTTCTGGTTGATGCTGTTAAGAAACCGATGCAACCAAGGAACTCACAGACAAAAAACCAGCAGAATGGAATCTACATCTCCTTCTGTCTCTCAGGGTATAGTCATTAGCAGCAAATTTGACTTTAAGTTGTTAGATTAAGGCAGCTACATTAGTTCCTAGGTCTTCGGTATATGGTGGTAGGTTAGAAACCACAATGGAGGAGGATCTGTCAGAGTACTTCAGGAAGCATTTTAATGGTATTTCCGACTTCTCAGATAATAAGTTTAAGGTGAGGTCTGGAGCGTGCGCGAGTTTCAGAGTTGAGATACCAGTACCACATTGAGCCAGATATGGGTGCCAAATTTCAATTATCGAAAGAAGAGTATCGTGGAAGGAAGACTTAGTTTTGCACATAAAGGATAAACATTACAAAAGGAATGTAAAAGAATCAGCCCGTACAAAATTAAATAATTGTCTTTCTAGTACTATTATGGACTATAGCCTAATTTGGTTGAAGGAGATATCTGATATTGGTATTCTCCAACTAAAACAATTCAACTTCCACTCGTAAATATTTCAATTCGCCATCTGAAGGCCAAACTGTTATTATTTCCCCACAAGACAAACGATATGGTTCCTTTTGGATGTCGTAGTACTATTTCTGCATTTCAGATCCATAAACAAGTCCCACACAGCATTTGAGGCTGAAGATTGCATGACAATTCACCGGCGTGTTGAGACAATACTTGTGAATGGATTTTAGCATTTTTTGAGCACTTGGCATTTTCGGGACGATGGATGACGGTGATGTGTCTGGTACATTAAAAAAGACAGACAGGAATGGATAATCCTGCGATCATGGGGTTTGCTGGTTCTGCTCGTTTCAACGTCATTAACCAGTAATTCAAACGTACTTGGTTTCATTTAGCGGTCAGATAAACATGGAAAATTATCAGCATGAAAACCACATGATAAGTTCAAGGTGTTATATTATAAAAATGGAAATTTTAATTGCTAGTCATACTGCTATAATCATAAACCAATGTTGATGTCGATTTAGAAAATTAATTTCGGCAATCTTTATATCGTCAATGAGCGACATTTTACTGTTAATGTCACCATTTTCACGAGTACAACTTGGATTGCTTTTTGGCGCATTTGTGACGGATGATATCATGAAAAGTTACAGTATGACGGGATGCTACAAAATACATACAATCCTTCCAGAACTGTCATTTCATTTCAAGTCATGTCAACTGCTTGTCATAAAACTTCAGTCCGTCCATGAACATAGTTTAATATGGTGTAACCTGTGTTAATATTACCTCGTTTTTTTGTTTTGTTTCAGACATTCCCTATCTCAAGATATTTCACTCTCAATGTGTGGCTGGGATCCACCACTACCAAACACAAATAGGTTTCTCGAACACGTAGTAAAATTCAGCGATCTATGCAACAACCCTTTTATGTTCGAAGATCCAAATTTGGTTGTTAGGATCAAGGATAAATACTATACATGGAAGGTGGCAGCTCCTATCATTGCAAGTATCGTCATTTATGGAAGACCTTTACTACAATCTTCAGTGGACCAGCTTTGCAATATCCATATGCCGGCATCCATTCATCAAAAAGATGCTCAACTCGCTAAAGATGGAACTAGCAAACAGCAACAAGAAGCTGCCAGAACTTCATGGTGGAGTTGGGGCCGGGGAAAAACTTCCAGAGAAACAACCCCTGCTCTTGATAAAGCTAATCAGGAACTAGGAAAAAGTGTGGAAGGTAAAGTTTCATTTGTTTTTGAGTTGCATTGACGCCCAAATATTATAAGTTATCAGTTCTTAGAAATATTTATCACTAGAGATAATTTATTGACGTCCTCTAGATAAGCTTAACGTATAAGTAATGCTATCCTGCGCATGGACTGTTTTAAACGCAAAACACTACACAGTTCATAAAGATTGGTGCTTAAGTCATCAGGCAGCTGAGGAGCTGTATTGGGATGAACATTTGACAGTTTGTACTGATACTAACTGGTAGGGTGGCAGAAAATTCAGAGTATCTACGAGTAATTCTTGTCAGAAATGAGCTAATAGCCCATAATCATATGCATCTTTCAATCCTCCTTAACACCTTTTGAAGACTGTTTCAACTCATCTTAAATTCGAAAACCATGCATTTTCTCTGTGTCAGCACCCAACATTTCCGCATGAGTTCTCGTGAATACGCATTTTCTCAAACCTGTCTTTAGACTTGTTGGAATAGCCCCTTAGTTGTTAACGAAGATCATGATTTTGTAGGGAGAAAATTGGAGAAGGAAGATGCTGGTGCTAATGCAATGGCTGTGAAAGGAAGTGAGACACAAGGTGCTGTTAGAGATAAGAAAGAAGAGACTGTAACAATTCCTATAAGTGATGAGAATGATGGAAGCTTAGCCGCTTCGATATCTCCACCCAAATCGACGTCTGATAAGTATAGGAAAACGTTAAGACTGACATCTAAACAAATTGCTTCGTTGAATTTGAGGGATGGGATGAATGAACTAGAGTTTAGTGTAACTACTGCTTATCAAGGCACCACTAGATGTCAGTGTCAGCTATATAAGTGGAAATGGGATGATAAAATAGTCATTTCAGACATTGATGGAACAATTACCAAGTAAGTATTTCTAACTAACTCCATTTGGATTTTTTTGTTTCATAGTACCGGTAGGCTACTGAATTGCTGCAGCACGGATTGAACAAGTGTATTGATGTCAGTAGGGATTTTACCTGGTGTTTCAAATTCGACGCTCATCATTGAGATCTCGAAAACGGAAAGATATACGAAGTTGATTAAATGGGACAAAGTTGCTCATCGAGGTATAAGAATATGGCACTTAGAAACTTCTGCAATTCTGAGTATTTCTGGAGAAACCGAAAAAGTACATTTTACATTGTCACCTTTTCGGCTCTACAAGATGGCATTATTAGAATTTCAATATGACGTTACGTCTGTTGTCTTCAGTTAACAAATTTTTTTCTTATAGACACCATATTGTTCTCGATAATACCTAATTCTATACTAAGCTTTCATCTTGTAACTGCTGTGATTCTACATTAAGTGTCTGGTTGTGGTCTTTTTTTTTCATTATTTCTGTTTCAGTGAGTGTGTGAGTGAATGTGATTTAAATCTGTCTTCACATTTTACACACTATTATGTTGTATTTGTCACTTTTCAGTACTATATGTCTTGATCATTATTTTTTTGTATCTGTGATTTTTTTTTATGTTTGTTAAACTTATGTAGCCCTGGTTGGTACCAAAAGCAGCTATTAGCTGATACACCCGCCAGGTAAAATAAAGGCATATTATTATTATTATTATTATTATTATTATATTGTACTTTTGCACAGGTGAATAGATTTTTTAATTCTGATTCCAAAAATATTTCATACATTGACATTGCCAAACCTTAGTTATTTCAAAAAACACAATTTCATAAGTAGTCCTTGAAGTTATCAGATAGTCATTTGTTTCATAATATCCTCAGCCAAGCGATCATTCAGTTTTTATGAGCTAGGCATAGGTGAACAGCCTCATTTGGGATTTTAATGCAGTGACGAAGAGTCCATGTAACCATTGTTACCATTGGTAACAGTTAAAAATCTTAAAAATAAATATTTTATGACTAATGGTGGGTTCATGCAAGACTTAACGTAACTTAACTTAAGAAAATGAGCATTTAAAGCGCATGCGCGGCCAGGATTGCCAATGTAGCAATGGCGACAATATCAACATTAAACACACTAACAAAATCATATGTTTAACGTCAAGGTAGCAGATGAAAGAGTGTTTTGTGGCTTTTGTGTCACGTGGACTGGCGGACCAGCCTTGACATTGACAAGTGGCCCCTTCCCACATGCTTGCGCCAATGCACTGGTAATTAGTCACAGAACTCGGATAATAGTCCAGATAATATCGGAACATCTGCTCGGAAAACTCTTCGGTTTCCTATTTTTGCATAATCTGATTCAAAGACCTCTTAAAGAATCTGCATGTGACTAGGCCCAAAATTGCTCCAAAAATTGTTATTAAACCGATTCCAAAAATTGATTTGTTCGCTTTGTTTAAAGTATTTTGCGGTTTTTAGGACATTCTGAATAAAAAATGAGCTTTAGAACTTTTCTCTAGACTTGATATATACAGGTATAAGCAATGTAAAAACTCAAAATATGTCATTTACTACCCTAAAAACAATATGAAAAATGAATATTTTGATGTTGCCAAATCTCACACATGCTTCAACCAACCAATAACAAAACCCCCAGAGCATTTTAGGGAGTACAGACATTATAAATATTTGCATAGTAATTATGAATTGAATGCGCGCTTGATGTATAGTCTACGTCTATGTGAACGCGCGAGAGAAATGAAATATCTCTCGTGCACGCTGAATATGCATTGAGCGTCCGCTTGCATATCAATTAAACACAAAGATTTATAATAACAGTATCTCCTAAAAGGTATCGAAATTCTGTTAATGGTTATTTATGAAGCATGGCGACATTAACATTTTCGTTTTTTCAGATCGGTTAACGGTATCCCAAAATCAATTTTTTGTACTTTCCCATCTTGTAGAAAATCAACTTTTGACAAACATTGTCAAACATCGTTTTGTTTCGGAGTATCAAAAAAAAAGCGAATACTACCTTTGATGAAGCGAAAACATTAATTTTTGTAATTTATTTGAAAAAGTTGTTCAAACAATTAGAGACGCAATTTGGAGCCTGACAACATGTAGATTTGTTACTAGGAGGCTTTTTCGAATAACATGCAAAAAGTCCTGAATCCGAATATTTTCCTGAGCAGATGTGAAGATATTTCTTAGACTATAACGACGGCAGCGCTACCTTACTTGGCTGGAAATCTGGTGGAACTAAAAATATTGAAAGTATGCCAACAACGCATATCAGGAATGTCAGGAATGTGTCGGCGATTTCATTTGTTTACATTACGAAATCTGACTGATGACCTTCCCGATATTGAGGCAGTTCGATGATCATAGATGCATAACACATCCTCAATAAAGGGAGTATTTCTTTCATCAGTATGACAGGATAATAAAAAAAATATAATTAAAAAAATATTTATTGAACAGTCCCAGCAATAATAGAACAAATTCTTCATTACCATATATTGTACATACATAGAAGTATTCTACTCATCTGGATTTTTCTCTATATTATGAACCTGATCAGTGCAATATCATGCAAGCACTATCTCTTGTTAATTGATCATATATATTTATTGCGAAAATATAAATACTAAAATAACAAAAAATACATCTGTTGTTAGAGGACTGACTGGAATACAAATATAATCACTCTGATATGTGAATCAAAAATAGTTTTGCACACACTGTTAATGGGTAAAGGCAAACAAAATTGTCCTCAACAAAAAAAAAAAACACATAAAACACTAATTGTTTCTTCAAACTAGGAAACAAACTCCTTATGTCATTGACAATTCATTTGGTATCCATAAAATAAATGACAATCTTCATTCCAACTGTCTCCTCGAAGGATGTTGACACTGTGAAACAAAAAAAAAAAATTATTAGCATATCACTGTCATATTTGGTCAGCAAACACTAAACAGAAACATAGTCATCTCACCACGCCCCTTCAGATGATACTGCTCTGTACATATGTATAAATTCCCAATCTAGCAGTATACATTTGATTGCCAAAATTCTGTGTTTAAACAAATTTTCATTGGTGATACCAAATGCCAGTCCTTAATTTGGCCCTTTACCAGATTTGTTATTACCAACAGTACAGATGTCACGAAAAAAGTTACCTGCTACTCATCTGTTTACCTCAACAAACGTCAAAAGATATTACATATTTAGTGGGCTGCGAATACACAGCATTCGCCAGGTGTACACCTGGTTTGTAGTTAATGACAAAGTACCTTCACAGTGTTCTGTGAGGTTTTGGAAAAACATGTCATGGGGGGCATGGTATAGATTTAAATTCTCTTTTTTCTTCTGTAGGGGCTATAATTTGCCGACATCACCACTGGTACAGTCTCAGACATGAACGTGTTTGCATCTACCAGCTATGAAGTCAGCACTACAAGCACAAAATTTTAAGATCATTTCCATTTTTTTTTTCGTTCTCTAGAATATAATTTCAAAATCCTCTATCTTGGTAAGGGGTAATTTAGGACCCATGTTTATTTTTTTCATGCTGTTTTTTGATCTACTTTATTCTGTAGCAATAATGATATGTTTTGCTGAAACTACCACTATACGCACTTTGTTAGGGGATGAAGTAAACATGACCACTGACTTTAATTATTATAATTTTTAACATACATCTCTGATTTTTTTTATCAATCTGCCCCGATGTTCAGCTCTAAACTGTCATGCGTAAGCAATAGTGGGCAAAAAGTATCTATCCGATACAAAAGATCCGATACTTTCCGAAGTCAGAAGTATCCGATACTTTTTGATAAATGTATCGAATACTGTAATAAATACTGACAATCTGACTATTTATACATACTGTAGTGTAGACAGAGAGTGACAGAAAAATAATGTACGGTTATGGCCAAATAATTGTCACCAGCTGTGGATGTCCAAGTATCTGTTGTAATCGTCAAATACTCCGAATTTTTTAGTAAATCTTTACTTTCTGAACAACTTCATCATATGTTTGGGGCAACAAACTGTTGCTTAAAGTTTTTTTTGAAGGAAGTTTATAAGCAGGATCAAACTCTTCTAACAATTCTCTGACCCCTTCATCTTCAACAATTATTGTAAATGGCTGCATGTCTTTTATAATCATGTTTAAAACTTTTATATGTAGGTTCTTAGTACGCGGAATAGACATTGGCCGCGAGCAAAAGTCGATATTGTTTTGATGAGGGAAAAGGCATTCGTCTTTTGTCCTGATCAATTTTTCTTGTGACGTCATAAGCCGAACTTCCTGGGATGACTTCCAAAGGTGTAGAAAAAGTTGATGGTCCGGGTATTTCCTCCAACTCCGCAGATGTTCTTAAAGACGAAGGAGGCGGAAGATCTTGCGTTATTACCGCAAAATGCTTCGCCTTCAAATGTTTCCTCAAATTGCAGGTTGCACCACCTTTATAGGATAAGACATTTTTCCAAATGTCACACTTTGCTTTATTTGAATCAATTGCATTGAAATACAACCAAACAAAACTTCTTCTTTTATCACTCATATTTTATTATATTTTTAAAAAGAGAATATATTATATAATACTTCTAAACTTATGTAAATATGTAAGCTATACTATTTGATATGACATAACCCAGCAGTTCTTCTCAACGCAACGTCGAGGCCGACACGCGGGATTCCCAGAACTCGTTAAGATAAGGATGTTGATGTCTACCGTCACGTTTATGTAGATGTCGATATCGATATTCGATATAGATTCGGTCTTAGGTATTGGGAACAGAAAGGATAAAAAACTAAGGCAGTCTTACGAGATTGGTAATTTGAATAAGATTTTTGGGTTGTTGCATGTTCCGGTTGTCAATTGAATATAGGCGAACTTTTGGGAATTAAAGTGTTTCATTTTGATTTCTAACACCTAACTGAAGCAAAAGGCTGAAATTAATTTCTGGTTACAAAAGCCCAGAATTTATATTCTATTTTTAACCAATATTGTAACAATAACATATATAGCAATGTAATTTAAAATTCAGGGTAACGCTCATCACTACTCATCAGTCATTTCTAATTTCTAGTCTATACTCGATGATACCTATTTATAGGAGACCGAGACCGCATAATAACAGTAAACAAACAGTAAGCAATAGATTCGAAGGTCGGGGCCTGGATCAACGACATAAAGACACGAACAGGATTATTATTATTATTTATTATTATTATTTCACACTAGCAGTATTAAATTAACGGATACTAACGACAATTAATCGAGCCGATACTTGGTATCGGTATTGCATACTCAGTATGGGATACTTACAGTTAAAGTATCGGTATCTATTCGATACTTGCAAAAGTATTGATTACCCACCACTAGTAAGCAAGCGCAAATAAATTTTCATACAACTATCACCGAACCATCTGCCCATACAGCGATATAAAATCGATCAAACATCACGATATAAATATCGACTATCGACTTTTGTACAGTATCGATGGCTCGTACCCATCTTCTAATTCCAGCTGTAGCGATCAGCTGACCAACGCTAGTGATCCCATTGGTTGGTTCTTAAGATAAAGTTCAATATATTGAACTTGATTTTAAGAAGTGACCTTGAAATAAGAAAACGACCATAACCTTAATATATTTAGTCATTTATGCAAAAATGAACTGATTTGGATACTTGCTGCAACGTCATCATTAGGCGCTCCTCTGGCGATGTCCGATTGCGTTCAGGTGCCTTCTGCAGGTACCTCTTCAACAAGGTCAGGAGTTGATACCAGCTCGGCTTTTCGTTTTTTTGCTCTAGGCAAACAAGTCCAAGGCAGAAAAACACACCCGAAGACGAACACCAAAACAAATCTCTACCGCAAATTCGTCAACTTAAACAAAAACAACAGATGAGTCACCGCCTGGCTTTCTCGGTAAATCGTCGTGGAACACAAGACACCACAGAATTATTATAATTACGTCAATACGAGCATAGAACAGTATGGAAAGGGCTATCCAAGGGTAAGACGAGTTCCGAAACCCCCCGAATCATGTCAAAAAATGGGTGTGACGTCACCAAAACGTTTGACCACCACTGGAAATCACTAGTTAGTTACTCTCTGGCGGCGTAACATGTGGAGGACACTGGTGTAGAAACAGCTGATCCTTAAATTCGGTTACGTTAAGTCGTGCATGAACCCGACATAAGTACTGTGAAATAATTTCATTCATTTGTATACCAACAGCGATATGTAATAGTAATTCAGTAAATAGCAAATTAGCCCCACGAAAATGATGCACCCTATAGTGTCTAGGTTTTGCGAACACGATGAAACTGACTCGCCTCGACTTGGTTGTCGGTTGTTACCATTTTCATTTATGGATACACTTGGTAGTCTGTCGGGGACCGTCGGTACCGGCTCGTGTCTGATCGCGTTCGCCCGAGTGCGTGGAGCGTTGCGCCGTTTTGGTTACCGGCTGTAGTGTGCGTGCAATTAAACATGAGGTATATCAAATGCCCCATACACTCAGTCCAGGAGTGTTTACCTCAATTTAAAAATAGTTTAAATAAAATACCTACGATAAGGAAAAACTTATATTTGGGAGGTTCAAAATAAACTTTTTTAATAAGATTTTTCACATCTGGTTTTGGTAACAGTTTAGGAAAAGTCACGCGTCGCCACTGTTTTAATGATGTGATATTGTACAAGGACTGGTACTATAAAGTTTCAAATATCTAAAAAAGTAATATTATAATTCGTCTTAAACCCATCGAATGAAAAACAACCTAAAGCTAAAACTTTTTCATATTAATCAAGAGTTGAATAGAAACTATTGAAAACAGTATTATTTTATGTAACATTTTGGAGTAAGTACAATTCGCAAACATGCTGCAGCATCCTAAACACATTTCATATCCCGCATATCTAAACCGTTGCGCACATCTTTCATTCGAATACTATTAATCTATGGTTGAGGTGTCAAGTTAGGCGTCTCGATCATGCTCAAGTAATTTATAGTCATACATGGGCAAATGATGTGAATAACTTTAAAACACGCGTTTCAGAAATTTAAGCATAGGTGATTTAATCGGATAAACATGAGATAAAGTCATCTTGAAAGCTGACTATAACAATATTAGTATTGTCGAAATATCTGAGGTTTGACGATGATCAATCAGAATGAAAAACTCTAATAACCTAAGTAAGTAAAAATTCAATATGGCAAGAGACGTAACATCATACTGGAATTCTAATTATGTACTTTTCTCAACTTATCTCAAATCAACCTAGGAAAAAATAAATACGATTTTGGCAAAAACATCTCCGGAAATACTCCGAATTGCGAAACTGTCATTTTCTTAGTTACCTAAATGCGCAACATTACCCCCATTTAACCGAATGCGTATATCTTACCGTTTGCGAGATCCCAGTGGTGTGGGTCGAATTTGAAACAACCGGTATACAAAAAACAAAAATATACATCGAATTTATCTTAGAATGGGGCTATGGAAGGAGCATACGGATCAACCCGTGTACTCACGTCTTTATATTCAAATGAGTATGGGATATTCATTCAATATCTTATGTCATCATATATTTTGATTTCTTTTTAAGGTCTGATGTTTTGGGCCACATACTCCCCATAGTAGGGAAGGATTGGGCTCAATCTGGAGTAGCTCAACTATTTAACAAAATTAAGGATAATGGTTATAAGTTGTTGTACCTCTCGGCAAGAGCAATCGGCCAGGCTAGAATTACTAGAGAATATCTGAAGAGTATAAAGCAAGGGGATTTAACAATGCCAGATGGACCGATTTTGTTGAATCCGACATCTCTGATCACCGCTTTCCATAGGTAAGTCAGCATGTTATGTTTCTTTTTTAATCAGTATTAGACGTGGGAGACAATCAGAAGCTTTCTTGATTGCTATTCAGGGTGGTTTCAGAAACAGAGGCAGCTGTTCTATTGCCGTTTTCCTGTGGTATGCATTTTTGCACTATTTACCCACTTTTTATTATTCTTTTTCTGCTGTGCACTTTAGTACATTTTTCTCATCCTGTGATCGACTGAGAAAATTATTGCAAATTGTTTTACACTGAGTACATTATTAAAGTATCAAGTCATAATGTCACAATTATTCCCAGTTTATCTACGACCGACTGGAAAAGTAAACTTTTTCCGGGCGACTACAGAAACTTTATTCATTTGTTCATTGATAGGCGATGGCGCAATTAACAGCGGACAATAGTACGCTTAATTTATTTACTGTCACTTCGACCTGAAAGCTTTTTTCTGAATTTTTTATTAGAGTCGGTCATAAATAAGATTGTGTATCTAACTCGGGCGTAACAAGCATTATGTCTTAAATGGCTTAATGCCCTGGATGCGTAATAATTTTTTTCTACCAGCATATGCCCCATCTGCGTGCGGAGAGTAGCACTTTTCCGCACGCATAACAGTGCTACTCTCTGCACGCAGATGCGTGTTGAAAGTGAGTACTTTCCGCACGCTTGTAGAAAGACTCTTATACCTAACACTTGCGGAAAGTGATATTTTTCCCAACGCGACGGTAGATGCACGAACGACGCGAAGTAAATAACTATAACGCGCGTTGGGTAACTTTTTTTCATATCAAACTGTCAATGTCAGAGTAAAAAGGTTATCTTTTTTACATCTGTGTCAAAGAAAGTGCCCAACACATCTCTACGGGCAGTATCGTCAGTCGTTCCTACAACTGTAGGACGCCTTTATGACTTCCTTGATTTCCATAAAAACTTGCATATGTGTGACTTCTTTAGATTTATACTCTGCCGACAATTGTGATGTTAGGTTATGTTTTTTTGACGCTTAAAAAGTTTTAGACAGATGAATCTAACGCCGAAGAATAATATATTTTCATATTGATAATTCAATAATAATTCCCTACATTGAACAAATTCCACAAGCAGTGGTCTCTTTAAATCCCATATCTGTTTTTATATATAAAAGCCTAACAGCTTACAACCAAGCTGTTCCGTTGATGAAGATAGGTAAGTTACTTCTGTAATTTTTAATCATTGCATATTAATATTTATATACTTATCGCATTTTTTTTTAGATGTGATATTCATTCTCACAGACTTTATGAGATGTTGGTTCCTCCATGGATAAGAAACATTGTATGATAAGTGCAATTGCATTGTTGATGTCGGAGATGCTTTTTCACAAATCATTGTGGATTGTATAGAGTGACAGGCTACAAGTATGTATAATGTATGTAAGATCATAATTACTATTGACCATCACTATTTCATAATGCTCAAAATACCATGGTAATGTAGGATAACCAAATGTGAAGTATTAAAGAGAGTAAACAGAAAACTAGAGTTGCAACATGAAGTAAAATCAGAAAAACCTTACGACATAAAAATTCCATGATTAATTACAAATGGGAAAATACGAGACAATTGTGACTCATCAAGGGAATCACTTTCCTGTTAAACAAATTCCAAACACTTAAAAGGGCCAGATAAGCCTAAAAGACCCATTATTTTGAAAATGGTAGGTACCTCAAAGTCAGGCTGGGTTAAGCCCTAATAAGTAGTTTTAAGATAATTAATTGAGGCGCGTTTTACGAAAACCGCATAAGTCCAAATTTATCGAAATTGAGTTAGTGATACTATCTAGTACAAAAAAGGATATTTTTGATTACCTAAGCACATATATTTTTTTACTGAAGAGCATATGTTTTAAGCTATTATTAATAGTAATTAACAAAAAAATATTCAAGAAAATTATTAGTTTTGAAATAAATCGTTTTTTCTGTTTCTTGAAAATTTTGTATTTTGGACATATGTTGTTTTTGTAAAACACGCTTCAATTGCATTGCAGTCATAATTCACTTATCATTCAGGTGGATAGATGCTGCAAGCAGCAAATTAAAATTCAGAACATTATCGTGAACTTAACATATAAGACTCATTTCAGGCAAAAATGAACTTAACCTAACCTGGCTCTGAGGTACGGAATTTGATTTGTATTTAAACTGCTATGTATAAATTTTGGATTTAAATTGCTATCAATAATGGAGACTTCAGATACTGAGTATACTAATAAAATATACATCAGTGGCATCATCAATAATAAGGAGATCGATGCAGTGAGCCTCAGAGAACAATTTATGTTGTATTTATCAAATGTGTTGCACCATATATTAATGTTGTAGTATGCGGTATATGGAAAAAAGCGAGTAAACTTAAATACACTTTCTTTTTCAATTGGTTTATTAATTGACTTGGAATCTTAACCTAAAAGGGAAAATCTATTAAAAATGTGGCATAGGAATGGACAAAATTTTCTATTTGAGAAAGAAATATCAAAAACTGAACAAGTTTGATATTTCAAACACTCATGTCAAAAGCAGAGTTTGCTAGTTATTAATAGACAGTAAAAAAATGAAATCTTTGGCTCAAAAGTCTGCATTTACCTCTTTTTTTTTATTATATCGAAGCAGCCGCGCAGGCAGAAGCCTAAATGCCGGAACACCGCGGCTGCTATGATGATCCCAAAGAAATTTTATTAATACGATTTTTGAACTGCCTAAGGTTAATAGAACTGGGAAAAGCTTCCTCTTGTAGATTGTTCCACCATCTCGACATCCTTGGGACAAAGGAGCGGTCGAATCGGTCGGTTCTGGATGTACGAAGTTCGACACGGTTAGGATGGGACGCCAAAGTCAGGCGGGTCTGTCTGGCAGGCACAACGCGCGACGGCATCATGGAAGAGAGCTCTGAGGAGCAAAGCCCGTTGGTGTAACGGTAGAAAAGAGCCAGATCGCCGACAGCCCGCCGGTGGGAAAGAGTCCCGAGACTGTCCGTTAGAGAAGAGTCATCGATCAGTCGGACCGCCCTCCTCTGGACAGCATCGAGCTTGGATAATGTAGTCGGGGCGGCAGCATCCCAAACGTGTGAGCAATACTCGAGGCTAGGCCTTATCTGGGCCTTGTATAGAGTGAGAAGCTCATGCGGAGAAAAGTACTTCTTAGCCATAAACAAATAGCCCCCCAGCAGCTGCAGCTATTGACGAGATGTGTTCGTGCCAGATCAGGTCCTCGGTGATCTGGACTCCGACCAGCCGAAATTAATGGCTCTTTGGCAGAACTCGACCATCCATCGAAACCGGGTGAGCGCAGGGACGCTTTTTGTTCGTCAAAGTACAGTACTGCGTTTTGGAAGCATTGAACTGTACAAGATTGTTGCGTCCCCAAGCAGTGATAGCCTCCAGGTCTCTTGTCAGAGAGGAAGTATCGCTAGTCTTCTTTTTCCCAACTCAGCGGCAGAGATCGGCTTGTCACTCTGAATTCCTCATCAGCGAAGCTGTGGATTGGGTTGATCGTGCAGGAAAGAAGGTCGTTGATATGTAAGAGAAACAGAGTCGGAGCCAAAATAGCCAGAGATAAAGTCAGCCACCCATCTGCAAAGCTTTTCTGGGAGGCCATAGGATGGAAGTTTGCTTAAGAGGGCAGCGTGTCACAGCTGATCGAACGCTTTCGTGATGTCAAGAGCAACGACATCAGCTTCACCATAAGATTGGATGAGTTTACTCCACAATTGAGTGACGTAAGCTAGGAGGTCCCCTGTGGATCGTTGGTGCCGGAAACCATACTGCCTGTCGCTAATCAAGCTGTGACGTTCGAGGTAGTCCAGAAGCTCGCGATTTATGCACCTCTCCATCACATTACTTAAAACAGAAAGCAGAGCTATAGGCCTGTAGTTATAAGGGTCGGTCTTAGATCCCTTTTTTGGTATGGGTTGGACATGAGCAAATTTCCAGTTTTCTGGGAAGGTGCCGGATTCATAAGATATCTGGAAGATACGCGAAAGAACTGGAGCAAGCTCCGGTGCACACCTCTTCAGTACAATGGCAGGAATCAAGTCGGACCAGAAGCTTTGTTGATGTCGAGCGACAAGAGCACTCGTCTTACGGTCTTATGCCTGAATGTTACCTCCCGCATAGTGTAGGGAACCCTTTGAATTGACGGCACTTGGGCGTTTGAGGGGGACGACCATGGTGAAGTTGGCCACAAAGATCTCGGCTAGCACTTCCGCCTTGGCCTTTGAGTTGAATACAATAGTTCCATCCTGACACGTAAGTGGTCCAAGGCTACTGTGTGAGAAATTCTTTTCAATCTGCTTGGCCAGCGACTAGAAAGACCGACTGCCATTGCGCTGCGACATTATCCTGTGCCTAACTTTTATATCGTGCTGGTTTTTGGCATTGCGAACCGCTTCGTTATATTTGTTTCTGGACTCGACGTCGGCTTGTCTGTTCTCTACAGTGGGGTTTTGTAAGTAGGTTCTGTGTGTCTTGATTTTCTGCTGGCGAGCAGTGTCACACGATTTGTTAAACCAGCCGTTGGACCCTGATCTAGGCACTTTCACTGTGTGAGGGATGTATTCCTCCATTCCGACGTGGATAATTTCGGTTATCGAAGAACAGACAGCCGAAGCATCCGCGTCAGTGAAACAGACATCATTCCAAAGGAAAGCTAGAGAAGAAATCTCTGAGCCCCTCCCAGTCGGCATGTCCGTAATGCCAAGTTTTACGGCCTGTACGAGTTTCTGCTGCCACAGCGGGTTCTGACCGAAACCTAACCTCCACAACACCGCAGTCTCAGTTACCCAGGGGGGACAGCAGTGCTGTAAGGGACAGGATGCGTGTTCAGAAAGAGATCCAGCAGGCTACTGGCGTGTGACGAGACGCGACGGAAAAAGTAGGGCTCGTCACCAGCTGAGTCAGCCCTTGGGTAATACCGAACGCTTCGACTGCATGACCTGCTGCGACGGTCTTGTTTGAGCCCAACCAAAGCTCATTAT